ACTTTAGTGGATCCGCCATCTCATTGGAGGAGATAGGCGAATTGAATGTATTTGTCGTGATATGAACGATTTTAGTGGATCTGCCATCTCATTGGAGGAGATAGGCAAATTGAATGTATTTTTCGTGATATGAACGACTTTAGTGGATCCGCCATCTCATTGGAGGAGATAGGTGAATTGTATTCCACAAGAGGTTTTCGCCAGAGCGGGTAAAGTAGGAACAGTTTAGCCTCGTGTACCAGTTGGAGGGTGTGAGGGCCAGTTTAGACTCTTGCACTCGTGGGAGTTAGCAAAGGAGAACTAGGGGTAGTACTTCTTCAGGTACTTGCCGTTGATGGGCATCATGATCTTATCGCCGTTCGGTTTGACGAGGCGATAGGCGCCGTTCGAGTAGACTGTCTCTACCACGAACGGTCCTTCCCATTTGGACTGGAATTTCCCCTTCTTCTTGGAAGTGAGGATCATTGGTCGACGGACGGAGAGCACGAGCTCTCCCTCTTTGAAGGCTCGGCGCTTGACTTTCTTGTCGAAGCTCCTGGTCATCCGAGCTTGGTAAAACTCAATGTGCTGCTGAGCTTCCAGTCGCTTGTCGTCCAATGCTTCGAGCTCTGCGAGTCGAAGTTGGTGATTCTCCTCAGTCGTCATCCCTGTCGCTAGGGCGACGCGAAGGGATGGAATCTGAATCTCTAATGGCAATACAGCTTCACAGCCGTATACCAACGAGTAAGGCGTGGTGCCAGTCGGTGTACGAACCGTCGTGCGATATGCCCACAAGCTCTCGCCTAGCTTTTCATTCCAGTCGCGCTTGCTAGTAGAAGTCAGCTTGGTCAAGATCTTGATGATCGTCTTGTTGAAAGCTTCGGCCAGACCATTCGCTGAAGGGTTGTAGGCCGTGGACGAGAGGTTCTATATTCGAAATTTGTCGCAGAACCTGGTGAAGGCATGGCTAACGAATTGCGTGCCATTGTCGTGAATGATACGCCGGGGTACGCCGTATCGGTAGATGACATGGTGCTTGATGAATTTGATCACGTCGCTAGTCTTGACTTCTCTTAAGGGGATGGCTTCTGCCCATTTAGAGAAATAGTCGGTGATCGCGAGGATGAAGCGATGGCCTTTCGCCGATGGTGGAGAAATTGGCCCAACTATGTCCATCCCCCATGCCTCGAAGGGCCAAGATGCCCTCGTCGGATGTAGATCCTCAGGAGGCTGGTGTATGTAGTTGGCGTGGATCTGGCATTCGTAACATCGCTTAGCATAAGCGACTGCATCAGTAACCATCCCAGGCCAGAAGTAGCCCATCCTTCATAAGCGATCCCAAAGCTTGGGTCCGGGCTGATGAGCTCCGCACACGCCGTCATGTGCTTCGCGTACGGCTTCTTGCGCCTCCGCTTTTGAAAGACAGCGAAGTAGCAAGCCGTCGTATGACCTGCGATACAATGTTTTAGTGGTTGAATCGTAGTAGAACCGTGAGGCACGTCGTCGGACCGACTCTCGTTCCTTCGAATCCTCAGGCAACATGCCGTATAGGACATAATCGATGATCGGGAGACGCCAGTCTTCCTGATCTGGCTGACCCGAGGCTTGATGAGTGGCGTTCGCCTCTGGGACGTCTCTGGGTCGAAAGAGTTTTCGGCTGGCGACAGCGACCCTTTGGGTCGTTCCAGGAGGCTGGGCTAAGTTAGCTGCCAAGGATGCGAGAGCATCCGCATGGGTGTTCTTTGAACGGAGCACGTGCTCAATACGGAAGCTCTCGAATGACTCCAC